ATCAGGGCCTTGCTACTTTCCTGGTGGATTCTCCCAAAACTTACAGTTTAAGCAGCAGCTGGTGGAATGTAGCACGTTCCAGCAACCCGATCAGAGTTGGAATGGGGTTTTAAATAGAGTATAATACCCTATAAATATAATGGAGATCCAATCAGGGCCTTGCTACTTTCCTGGTGGATTCTCCCAAACTTACAGTTTAAGCAGCAGCTGGTGGAATGTAGCACGTTCCAGCAACCCGATCAGAGTTGGAATGGGGTTTAAATAGAGTATAATACCTATAAATATAATGGAGATCCAATCAGGGCCTTGCTACTTTCCTGGTGGATTCTCCCAAAACTTACAGTTTAAGCAGCAGCTGGTGGAATGTAGCACGTTCCAGCAACCCGATCAGAGTTGGAATGGGGTTTAAATAGAGTATAATACCCTATAAATATAATGGAGATCCAATCAGGGCCTTGCTACTTTCCTGGTGGATTCTCCCAAAACTTACAGTTTAAGCAGCAGCTGGTGGAATGTAGCACGTTCCAGCAACCCGATCAGAGTTGGAATGGGGTTTAAATAGAGTATAATACCCTATAAATATAATGGAGATCCAATCAGGGCCTTGCTACTTTCCTGGTGGATTCTCCCAAAACTTACAGTTTAAGCAGCAGCTGGTGGAATGTAGCACGTTCCAGCAACCCGATCAGAGTTGGAATGGGGTTTAAATAGAGTATAATACCCTATAAATATAATGGAGATCCAATCAGGGCCTTGCTACTTTCCTGGTGGATTCTCCCAAAACTTACAGTTTAAGCAGCAGCTGGTGGAATGTAGCACGTTCCAGCAACCCGATCAGAGTTGGAATGGGGTTTAAATAGAGTATAATACCCTATAAATATAATGGAGATCCAATCAGGGCCTTGCTACTTTCCTGGTGGATTCTCCCCAAAACTTACAGTTTAAGCAGCAGCTGGTGGAATGTAGCACGTTCCAGCAACCCGACCAGAGTTGGAATGGGGTTTAAATAGAGTATAATACCCTATAAATATAATGGAGATCCAATCAGGGCCTTGCTACTTTCCTGGTGGATTCTCCCAAAACTTACAGTTTAAGCAGCAGCTGGTGGAATGTAGCACGTTCCAGCAACCCGATCAGAGTTGGAATGGGGTTTAAATAGAGTATAATACCCTATAAATATAATGGAGATCCAATCAGGGCCTTGCTACTTTCCTGGTGGATTCTCCCAAAACTTACAGTTTAAGCAGCAGCTGGTGGAATGTAGCACGTTCCAGCAACCCGATCAGAGTTGGAATGGGGTTTAAATAGAGTATAATACCCTATAAATATAATGGAGATCCAATCAGGGCCTTGCTACTTTCCTGGTGGATTCTCCCAAAACTTACAGTTTAAGCAGCAGCTGGTGGAATGTAGCACGTTCCAGCAACCCGATCAGAGTTGGAATGGGGTTTAAATAGAGTATAATACCCTATAAATATAATGGAGATCCAATCAGGGCCTTGCTACTTTCCTGGTGGATTCTCCCAAAACTTACAGTTTAAGCAGCAGCTGGTGGAATGTAGCACGTTCCAGCAACCCGATCAGAGTTGGAATGGGGTTTAAATAGAGTATAATACCCTATAAATATAATGGAGATCCAATCAGGGCCTTGCTACTTTCCTGGTGGATTCTCCCAAAACTTACAGTTTAAGCAGCAGCTGGTGGAATGTAGCACGTTCCAGCAACCCGATCAGAGTTGGAATGGGGTTTAAATAGAGTATAATACCCTATATATAATATAATCAGGGCCTTGCTAGATCAAAACTTACAGTTTAAGCAGCAGCTGGTGGAATGTAGCACGTTCCAGCAACCCGATCAGAGTTGGAATGGGGTTTAAATAGAGTATAATACCCTATAATATAATGGAGATCCAATCAGGGCCTTGCTACTTTCCTGGTGGATTCTCCCAAAACTTACAGTTTAAGCAGCAGCTGGTGGAATGTAGCACGTTCCAGCAACCCGATCAGAGTTGGAATGGGGTTTAAATAGAGTATAATACCCTATAAATATAATGGAGATCCAATCAGGGCCTTGCTACTTTCCTGGTGGATTCTCCCAAAACTTACAGTTTAAGCAGCAGCTGGTGGAATGTAGCACGTTCCAGCAACCCGATCAGAGTTGGAATGGGGTTTAAATAGAGTATAATACCCTATAAATATAATGGAGATCCAATCAGGGCCTTGCTACTTTCCTGGTGGATTCTCCCAAAACTTACAGTTTAAGCAGCAGCTGGTGGAATGTAGCACGTTCCAGCAACCCGATCAGAGTTGGAATGGGGTTTAAATAGAGTATAATACCCTATAAATATAATGGAGATCCAATCAGGGCCTTGCTACTTTCCTGGTGGATTCTCCCAAAACTTACAGTTTAAGCAGCAGCTGGTGGAATGTAGCACGTTCCAGCAACCCGATCAGAGTTGGAATGGGGTTTAAATAGAGTATAATACCCTATAAATATAATGGAGATCCAATCAGGGCCTTGCTACTTTCCTGGTGGATTCTCCCAAAACTTACAGTTTAAGCAGCAGCTGGTGGAATGTAGCACGTTCCAGCAACCCGATCAGAGTTGGAATGGGGTTTAAATAGAGTATAATACCCTATAAATATAATGGAGATCCAATCAGGGCCTTGCTACTTTCCTGGTGGATTCTCCCAAAACTTACAGTTTAAGCAGCAGCTGGTGGAATGTAGCACGTTCCAGCAACCCGATCAGAGTTGGAATGGGGTTTAAATAGAGTATAATACCCTATAAATATAATGGAGATCCAATCAGGGCCTTGCTACTTTCCTGGTGGATTCTCCCAAAACTTACAGTTTAAGCAGCAGCTGGTGGAATGTAGCACGTTCCAGCAACCCGATCAGAGTTGGAATGGGGTTTAAATAGAGTATAATACCCTATAAATATAATGGAGATCCAATCAGGGCCTTGCTACTTTCCTGGTGGATTCTCCCAAAACTTACAGTTTAAGCAGCAGCTGGTGGAATGTAGCACGTTCCAGCTACATGTTTTAACCTCCAGTCCCCTAATCATCTTTGTTGCTCTTCTCTGTACTCTTCCTAGAGTCTCAACATCTTTTTTACATCGTGGTGACCAAAACTGGATGCAGTATTCCAAGTGTGGCCTTACCAAGGCATTGTAGAATGGTATTAATACTTCGTGTGATCTTGATTCTATCCCTCTGTTAATGCAGCCTAGCACTGTGTTGGCTTTTTTGGCAGCTGCAGCACATGCTGGCTCATATTTAAATGATTGTCCACTAGGATTCCAAGATCCCTCTCACAGTTACTACTATTGAGCAAGGTACCCCCTATACTATACCTATACATTTCACATTCAATATTATATATAAGAGTGTTAGAAACAATAAGATTAATAAATATTAAATACCAAGGTTGCTTAAAGTATTCTGCATTAATAAATGTTACTAGAAGAATTCAAGGGATGTAACATCAATATTAATATATATTTTAGCATTAAAGAGGGTTTACAAATAACAAAGAATTTTGGATTGTGAGTTAGGGCCAGTCACTTTATCTCAGCCTAATCTGTCACAAAGTTATTGGGATTGTAAAATAAAGGATGACTCATTGATGCAGTTTTAAGCTTCTTAGAGAAATGGTACAATAGAAACTGAAGTATTGTGCTTTTTTCCTACTGTATTCAGTATGTACTGTAACATAGATTTTGCTAATTTTGGTGCTGGATATTTGTTGCTAAACCCAGTTGTTTATTTTGCCTGTTGCACTATACAAGGACAAATGTGACTGGTCTTCAAAGGAATTCAATCTAATTTAAATTTTATTTCCAATAGATGGGGATTGGAAGTGGGTGAATGGAGATATGCATAAGAGGAGCTGTGGTGGTGCAGTGGTTAGAATGCAGTACTGCAGGCTACTTCTGCTGACTGCCAGCTGCCAGCAGTTCGGCAGTTCGATTCTCAGTGGCTCAAGGTTAACACAGCCTTCCATCCTTCTGAGTTTGGTAATTATTGGGGGGCAATAGGCTGACTCTGTAAACCACTTAGAGGGCTGTAAAGCACTGTGAAGGAGCATATAAGTCTAAGTGCTATTACTATTAATTAACACATAGTGTAGCTAAATTATAGTAAGGAATAAGGTAGTGTGTAGTAAATTTTCTTGAAAGGATACAGTGGTCTAAGAAAAAAGTAAGATCTTGGATTGGAATTATTTTCTGAATATTAAAAACAGTCTTTCCAGGAGAATCAGGAAAATATAAATGGAAAAAAAGATCCAAACAATTCTACTTGTTTGAATTGGATAAAATCAGAGAAAGATGAGGGGATCTGCCATGATTGTTAGGATTCTCCATATCAGAAAGCACCCTGTAGCAAAGATGTCATACAGAATTACTGCATTTACTGGAAAAACTAAATTCTTTATCACCATTTAATGCTATTTTAGAATGGGAAAATCACTGTAGATTCATTTGTTGAGAAAGGAAGTAAATAAGATGAGGTGGTTTTGTTTTGTTGTTTGAATTTTTGTTGCATTCTAAACTGCTTTTTGGCAGGGAGATTGTTTTAAATTCACGATGAGCTCTGTTTCTGGAAAATATGATGAAATAAACTACTTATCTTACTACACAGACAGGAATACAGCCAACCAGACAATCTTGCTGGTATGTAATGTAAAGTAAAAAAGAATTCTAGCGACTACTCTGTTTTAAGAGCAAATTGCCTATGTAGAAATAATATTCAAACCCTTTTACACCTCTTCTTGTAATTCCTGCTCTATATTATAGGCTGCCTGGCCCCTGTTCTGCTGGAGGGAGGGAAGGGAGTAGATGTCATCTGTCCATTGTATTTGCCACAGTCAAATTTGCTATCATGTTTTTTTTTCACAGACCATGTAAGAAATAATTGACACTCCATTGACCTAAGTATGCCTTGGTTTGCGGCAGTTGGATAATTTTTCTGTTCTTTGTGAACTGTTTCTGTGACATTTGCCAAGTGACATGATGCTCATATGATGTCATCTTCCCTCCTACTCCAGGGTGAATGTTCTCAAATGTGCTACAACATTTTCATTGTGGAATCAGTCTGCGTTGGATGGTTTTCCTTGGAATTCCTCTTGAGATTTATCCAGGCACCAAGCAAATTTGTGTTTCTGCGGCACCCTCTGACATTAATTGATATAATTGCCATCCTGCCCTATTATATTACTTTGCTACTGGACAGTGCTTCGGTGAGTAGTAATAAAAAGCCAAGCTCTGGCAACATCTACCTGGATAAGGTAGGCCTGGTACTCCGTATACTCCGTGCCTTGAGGATTCTCTATGTCATGCGGCTCGCCAGGCATTCACTAGGTCTGCAGACCCTGGGACTCACGGCTCGTAGGTGCACACGTGAATTTGGACTATTGCTGCTGTTCCTTTGTGTAGCCATTGCACTTTTTGCTCCCCTCCTGTATCTGATTGAAAACGAGATGGCAGACTCTCAGGAGTTCACCAGTATTCCTGCTTGCTATTGGTGGGCCGTTATCACCATGACAACAGTGGGCTATGGCGATATGGTACCCAGAAGCATCCCAGGCCAGGTGGTGGCTCTGAGCAGCATCTTGAGTGGCATCCTTCTTATGGCCTTTCCTGTCACTTCCATCTTCCACACATTTTCTCGTTCATACATTGAGCTAAAGCAAGAGCAAGAGAGAATTATGTACAGGAGGGCCCAGTTCTTAATGAAAACCAAATCCCAGTTAAGCAATGAATCGCAAGGGAGCGACATATTTCCGAATGTGTCTTCTGAGACCAGAGACAGTGTCTGATAACGGAAGTTTCTACGTCTGCCTGTTGCTGGGAAGCAGGAATAGCTTTCCTCTTGGCATTTGCGTCTGGAGGCACTTGGGAAACCTATTGTACAAACAACGTGCAAAAGGCTTATAGCCATGATGACAGTGAGAACTTAACCATTATGCATATCCACACTATTATTAGGACTTGAAATAAGATTACTGCTTTTGGGCAGACTCCACAAAGGAGGAGTGACTTCTTCATAAGATCACAAAGCCATTTGAAAGGGAAAAGAAAATGAGCATTATTGGCTAGAAGGAGAAGAGTGTAGAGTTACACACAGGCTGCAAATATTCCATTTGTAATATAACAAAATGAGCCATTTCCCTAGAAAACGACGGTGAATGTAACAGTTTGGTCATTTGGTTAATTGACTTTTCTTGTTCATTTCTGTCAAGACATGTAAACTTTAACCTTTCGTAGATCCAAATGAATTCTTGGGTGTATAACTCCATTATTTGTAATGGAGTGAACAGTTTGTTCACAGGGAAGGTAATTTCTGTTTTTAAAAAGTACATTGTTAGTGTTTGCTCCAGAGTGCAGAGAGATCTCTCCATTTCACTCTTTCAGTTGCTGACATCCTAAGCTTCAAATGCAGGACCCATTAACAGATACAGATCATGAGAATAAATCACTTTACTATGTTTCTCTTTTTTTTTTCCAGGCATCATTTAAATAACAGCAGAAAGCTGGTTCCTAAGCAGCCATATGATTACTTGCAGCTTGTTTTTTTTTAAATGGGTGACTTTTCCTTCAAGAGAGGAATAAACAAAAATGTTTTCATGGAGATTTTGTGTAACCAAGTTATAAGTTCCATCATGTCTGCCACTGGAACTTAGTTTTCTATTTGCACAATTTCCTCTTGGATTGGTTGGAACTAGGGCGCTTTAAACCTTTCAGTGCCCTTCATGCTCATCAGCCTATGAATGAGTATACTGTAGAGTTTTTCATTTACTTTCTCTTGGATACTGACTGTGCTGGAGTAGCCAGAAACGGTTTCCTGCTGTTCCCTCTAGTGTTCATAGTAAAGGGAAAGTAGGAATTTGCAAAATAAGCAAGTGTGCATTGAAATATTATACTTTCCCAGCTATGGTATTTTAAAAAAAAATGGGTAGAAAAAAATATCAAATCTAGCTTTGTTGCCAAAAATGTTAGCTTGTCACTGATGATAACGCCTTTAGAGGAGCAGAAGTAATAATTACTGGAAGCAACTCAGTAGGTTTCCCATTAATAAGACATAATGGCTTTCTGCTGCCTGCTTTGCCTTTTCCCAGTACAATAAGCTTCAAAATAAACAAAACATATAGAACACTAAAAAGCAGCTAAGAATCTTTCCTATGTAATAAGCTTTTTCATTTGGGTGTAATGCACACCAGCATAAAGCAGCTTGTTTTGCAATAATCTGAAACAGCGTCTTTCTTGGCCTGAATTAAACTATGTGCTTGGTGAAACCTATAGTGTGACTTAGCCATAAGCAAAAGACTATCTTCCCTCTCCATCCCCCAACTCCTCGCCCCACCCCAAAAGCTGGATCTGGTTCCAGTGAGAAAATTCACATGACTTCATCACATGTGCCTTTGCGATGCAGATTCGCATTCAATAAACTATTTCTGCTCAGATAGCCTAGCTGATGCCCTAGGGCTGGTTTTATGCATGATACATAAAGTAATAATATTGTGGCTTAATGTGATCTATGAAGCCAATCATTTTGGTCTATGAACCATAATTTATGCTTTGGTGTTCTATGTGAATGCAGCCATCATTACTTATTGAGCAAATTGGTATTATAATGAACCATGGTACAAAGGTCTTGTGCAATTTTGTCATACTAGGCAGATAACAGTCTGGGTAGATTACAACCCAGACTGACAACAATCTAAAATTTTGCCATTTTTTTTAATCAGCAACTTTAGTATTGAAGATGTTGCACTATAATGGATGGATGATAAACTGTATTTTGGCAAAGATGGGAATTTAACTAGAGAATCTGCAATGATAAGAACAATAAGGTCAGATGGGCCTGAATCCTGAAATAAAATTGGTCTTCTGTGATTGATCACTTACAATGTACAATTCCAAATAAGTTACTGTTTCTTATCAACTTTGCAAATTCAAAGACTATTAGTAACAACCCTAATAACAGCTTATTAACCATCCATCCAATTTTTCTATTCCTCGTTTCTTCTTAAAACTGTTCTATAATTCACATTTATTTTTGTATACAACGTTCCCTAAACATTACGTATTTTATATGTCTTTCTAAAATACATATTTGGAGGTAAGCATATCTGTTTTTGAATGCACTAGCAACCACAACACAGTATGTGGAAGAAAGTACAAGAAAGTAGGAAAATTGTATATATTAATTGAGAAAATATACATTATGTTTGCTAAAAATGTAGTCCAGACAAAACTATCCATATTTGCCAAATGACCTTGATTTCTTTTGTGGAAGGAAAGTGCTGGTTTGTATTGTGGTTTATATTTTCTGTCAGTTAGCTGGGACAAATAGGGGAACTCTTTATAGTGGTTTTAGCTCCATGGTATTTACATGACAAATCAAGTGCTCAAATGAAAATGCATGCAAATCTGAAAGACAAGGAACCAGATACCACCATGACACATATGAAATATGATGTATATGAATAGACAATACTAATTTACAATGCATATCAGAACATGGTGGGTTGGTCTCCCTCTCCCAGTTTATTTACAACAGCAAGAATTTGACATATTCTGTAATATTTCAGATGTGGATCCTGCAGGCCGGTCATCTCCCTGTTTTTTCAAAATTAAGTCTTTGGAGCTCAGGCACACATATAATTGCAAGTTTAGCCAGTCGTCAGAATCCAGGATGAATAAGGCACATTTTGCACAATGCTAGATGCCATTGTCATTTGCCAAAGAAGCAGTCTTCATTTTAGGCCAAGAATCTGGCACAAAACTGTGGTAGTTGGTATAAAATGGGGCAAGAACTACAGCAGAAGGAATGTACCAGCACCTTGGCAGCTGGGGCATTCTAATGAATCCATCATTTATCTTGGATGATGCTGTTTAGCAAGAGGTAACCGTCTTCCCCCTGCTATCTCAACAGATGGAGCACCAGTAGCAGTAGCTACTAATAAGGCTGCAGTCTTGCTCATTTTACCTTTGCTATGAAGTACTTTGAATGGCGTACAAATAAGTAAACCTGCAAGGGACTGGACCTTCTAAAACATTATTTAGTTTGTTTTGGCCTTGTACCTTGCAATTAAATTACTTTCAATTTTAAATGATAAACATTCATCAATCTGTAAGAAATTACTTTTTTTTTTAATTTTCAGAACGTCAAAGTTGGCATGCTAAATTAATGCTAAATTAAAACTGCGTATCTTGACTCAGAAATCATAACATTAGCACTGAAGCCCCATAATATCACCACTTCCAAATGTGGAGATTTAACATTAACTCTAACCAGAATTTAAATGTACTTGATTTTTAAAATCTATTATACTGTATTAAGATTATTAAAAAGAAGGAATTTCTCTAGCTTGATGGGCCCATTTTTTTTAAAGAAATAAAAAAGCACCTCGTGTTTTTTTTTTAAATATCATTGGAGCCAAGATATCATCTATGAAAAAGCAATGTTATTTTAGAAGTTAACAACAGCGTGCCTGGAATTGCCACCTGGTATAAAGTGTGGTAAGTATGAAATGGAAACATGAAATATGTGACATCACATAAAAATCAGTTTTTATCAGTGGCAATTAAAGGCTGCTATTTTGTTTCATTATCTTGTATGCATTTGTGTCTTGCCATAGTGTGGATATTTTCAACTCAAGCTGTAGTTGATTTAATAAAAACGATATTTGATTTTCATTTTTATTCACTGTCTTGTACTTATGCTCCATTTTCCCTTTGGATTGCTTAGAATCACCGTTCACCCTTCTACTTCTGTGACTTATGGACTAACATAGCAAAGGTTGGTGAAAAGGCAAGTAAATTGGAAGTTGGAAGTGACCCAGATTGTTTTTATATAAAGAAATTTAGATTAATTGGGCATTATTATAGAGTGAGCCAGTTCTGTATAGTGGCTATACACCAAGCTAGAAACCAGGAGAATTCTAGTCCCCACCTTAGGCACAAAGTATCACTATTTCTCAGCTGTAGGAAGGAAGCAATGGCAAACAACTTCGGAAATCTTGCCAAGAAAACTGCAGGGCTTTTTCAGGCAGTCACCAGGAGTTGATACTGACTGGGAGGTGTGTGTGTGTGCATATTAGAGTAAGTAAGTGTTGACGGTTTTTCACTATTCAACTATTGACAAAGGATTAGCAAAGAAAGAGAGCAAGACAGGCAATGGATGACTGCAACTAAAAGCCAGGCAAGTCCCTGAAGTTGGGAGCAGTCAGCAGGCTGATCTGTGCCATACAATCATCTGGATGGGTTTTAGCATTACTACATAATGTCCCTGCCCAAAGGTGCTTTTTCGGGGGGCAACTGGACTTCCTTGTTTTTCTTTGAAGACGTTTCGCTTCTCATCCAAGAAGCGAAACATCTTCAAAGGAAAACAAGAAAGTCCAGTTGCCTCCCAAAAAAACACTTTTGGACAACCATGACCTGAATGATTGAGAATCTCCAAAGACATAATGTCCATGCCTATTTGCCAATTACTATTTCAAGATTCAGCTGCTATCTTTATATTTGGGGAGTGAGTTTTGGAGAATACCAAGAAAGGCTGTTCTTCCTTTTTTTTGTCCAACATAACAAAATTTTGGAAAGTAAGTATGTGAAGGGGCAACGGGATTGTCTCTTTGTCAGCAGATTAACTCTCCAAAAACTGGATTTGGAGTGGCAGGAAAAGCTAGCCCCCCAAAAATGGGTGTTCAAACATTGGCTGTGGAGAAAAAGAAATTCAGGGAAAAAGTTCCCCACTGCAAAAGACTTAGGATGCTGCCAGTTCATCTGTTCTGAGCTCAGCCTACTTCCTGGTCATGTGACTCCAAGTGGGGCAGTTATTAAGGGAAGAAAAGAATCATGGAATATTTCCTACAATATTTCCCCTCCTCATTTCTGAATATGATTATTTTTGCATCTGCTGCATCCCTATTTATTTATTTAAGGAAGATGCATATGGCCAACCAATTACAGCCCTCTAGTGGTCACCTTACTCTGGATCACTGTCATGAACAGTGCAGGTAGTCCTCGACTGGGCACTGAAAAAAGTGACGACTGTTTTTCACACAACCGTTGCAGCATGGTCATATGTTTAAAATTCAGATGTTTGGCAATTGGTTCATATTAATGATGGTGTCATGTCTCAGGGCTGGGCATGGAAGCGACACAGCCAAAGTGAGGGGTTAACTCCCTTTTATTGCTCCAACTTTCTCCCAAAATTTCCACTGTTCACTGCAAATCCAAGAGCAAGCCCTAAACAAGCACACCCTCCTCCAATAGTTCCTGGCTGCTAGAAGTCCAGGGGAGCAGCGCAGTTCAGGAAGCTTGGTCACTGGATGTCCTTCTAGCAAGGAGGATTCACTGGAACTGCAGCATAAGCTGGAGCAGAGCTATGTCGCTGCAAAGTTCCACATGGCAAGGCAAGGCAAGGCAAGACAATAAGATGTCGGTGATAGCAAGTGGAGCTAGAAAAATACAACACTTGTCCCCAACAAAAGCCCCTTCCCATGGCATCTCTTTAAATCCTATTCCTCAGGTAAGCCTTGTGAAGAGGGGCAGAACACCCTCCCCCCAAGTAGTCTGGTCGCCCTGTGCTGACTCCACCTCCTCTCCATTCTCCGTGCTCAGGGATTGGGCAGAGGAGGCAGTTGCTCGTCTCCGGAGCATTGTTGTTCCTCTGCTCTGCTACCTGCCCTGTCCCTCTCCTCCTCCTTGCTCAGTCATCTTGCGCCCTCTCTTTCTCTGGCCATTCCTCCTGGGCCAAAGATGCAGTGCCATCTCCCTCTATCAACCTCAGCTCCATCTTCTCCTCCTCAGACCCAACAGGGCCATGACAGATGGTTGCAGTGTCCCGGGGTCATGAGATCACTTTTGGGGACCTTCTGACAAGCAAAGTCAATGGGGAAGTCAGATTCACTTAACAACCATGTTAACAACTTAACAAATGCAATGTGTCAACGCTGCTAATATTGAATATTCTTGCTTTGACAATACAGTATATGCAGAACTTCTGGTATTTTTAGAGTTAAATCAGGTAACAGTGAAAGGGGAGGAGAATATAAGGAAAGGGGGGGGGGAAGAAACAGAAGTAAATCTTTGCCCTCCAAGTTAATTGGAAGATGTGAATCATGACCCCAGAATAGGGGAGGGGAAATGCCTGGAATGTTATGTGCAAAGGAAGGGAAATTCAGATCTTAGCATCCACCATGCTGTGCTGACACTCTGTAATACTAATAAAGGCTTTTTAGGTTAAAAAAATGCCTGAAAGTTCTTTGAAGTGTTTCGTTAATCAGACACATGACACAATGATTCACTTAACAACTGTGGGGCAAACTCAACAAATGTTTCATTTAGCAACATAAATTTTGGGCTCAATTGTGGTCATAATTTGAGGACTACCTGTAGATGTTTTTAAACAAGGTTTCTACAATAGATCGATTACCCAAGTAGACCCCAGAATAATATACAGATTTAGAGTATATTAAGTCGCAGTTGCTGGAGAGCAACTATTGAAGATAGCCATTGTCTTCAGGATAAGTTGGATGATCCTGCTAAAAACATTTGATGGCCACAGTGGGACAATAGACATTACACTAATAGTGCACTGGCAACTTTCTCCAGTCTGAATGCCTTTTAGTTCAGATCCCTTGCTTTTCCAACTAGCATGGCCCTGCATCATCCTTTTTGCCATTTCTGAGATTTGAAATACATTTGGATAATGTCCCAAAGATGCTTTCTTTCAAAAGGCAACTGGGCTTTTTTTTTTTTGAAAACATTTTGCTTTGCATCCAAGAAGCTTCAGAAGTGAAACATCCTCAAGCAAAACAAAGTCTAGTGGCCTTTTGAAAGAAAGCTCCTTTGGGACAACCATGACCTGGATGACTGAGAATCTCTATAGACATTGGATAATGTCCAGACGCAGTTTAATAAACTCAACTTTTAGATAATTTCTAATCTGCTTTGAGTTGAAGAACTTGCAGAGGGCATGTTCGGCCAACAATATTGCGGTTATTCAAACTTTGAAGTAAGAATATATTAAAACGGGGCTTTATTTAATTCTCTGTTCTTCTGAACATGCTAATTGGATCACCTGCCTAAACTGCCAAAGCTTGGCATTGTGGAAAAGCTAATATTAGGCTGAAACCTAGTTTGCTCAATGCAGTTCAGAGAACATTCTGTCAAGAATTTAGTGCTCTTTAAGTGGCTTCTGATTGTTATGTCTTTTATTTATATTTATTCATTCAATTTCTATAACCACCCATCTCAAACAAGATATTATCTTTTATCTGCCCAAATACATAGCATTTGTTTGTGGCTGAGTCATAGCTGCATGCCTCACTCAGTGCATATGACAGTGAAAGAAAGCTGGCATAAATTGTGGTATGAATTCTGGATGCGGAATCTTGTGTGGGCAGATTTAGTTGATGTGTAAACCAAGAAATACTGAGGAGAACAATGCCTCTGTACAACTTGTACATCCTCTTTAAAAAAGGGCTTTTTATTAAGGTGACCAACTTTTTTACAACAAAAAGAAGGACACGAATAAATTTAAGAAAAAGATATGGTAAATAAAAGAAACATTGTATTTATTGCAACAATAATACAGAATACACTATAATATGATAAATGCATAATAAAAAACATTTGTAACAATAACATTTTATATTGTAACTATGCTTACATGCCTATTAATTATTTAAATGAGTACTTTTCCATTGAATGAATATTTTTTGTCAATGTATCATCTTCTAACAATATATTGGAAATATCTGAACAAGAAATATCCTTCATATTGAATTTTACGGCAAGTGCTGCAGCTAGAGTATCAATATTCAATCTCGATTTCTCACTTGTCCAAAAATCTACACGGCTGGACTGCGCGGGGGTGGGCGGCGGAGGCAGGTGTTGTGAGCCAGGCGCTCCAGGATGGCCATGTAGATGCGCAGGGTGAGATGGTGGCAGTGCAGGTCAGCACTGCGTAGACCACCAGCTGGCGCAGCCCATGGAAGGTCAACTGCCCGCCGCGCCCCCGCCCACAGCCGCCCCGCCAGCACTGCTGCCCTGCCATGGAGAGCCGGCCCTACAGCTCGCAAAGCACCAGCCGCGCCAGCTCCGGCCCTGCAGCCTCTCCCCAGCACCACCGCCCCCCCTGCCCATCCCCGTACAACCGGCCCCGCGGCTTGCAAAGCACCAGCCGCGCCGGCTCTGGCCCTGCAGCCGCCCCCCAGCTGCTGGGGCAGCACCACCATCCACCCTGCGCATCCCGGTAGAGCCGGCCCCACGGCTTGCAAAGCACCAGCCGCGCCGGCTCCGGCCCTGCAGCCGCCCCCCAGCACCACCACCCCCCAGCACCACCGCCCCCCCTGCCCATCCCCGTAGAGCCGGCCCCGTGGCTTGCAAAGCACCAGCTGCGCCAGCTCTGGTCCTGCAGCCACCCCCCCCCAGCCGCCCCCCAGCACCACCGCCTACCCTGTGTATCCCCGCGTAGAACTGAACAGGGAAGATCAAGTGAAACTTACCGCTCCAGTCTCCTCCAGCTATCTTTGGAACTAAGAAGTAGGAGATCGTGTAGTTGGGTAGCAGTGAGGGGTGCAAGTTCCTGCAACTTGCACGTGCAAAGTTTGCCGCCCGGGTGTTTTGGCGCGCTCAGCAGCAATTCCTATTGGCTTTCGAAAGCCAATAGGGGGAGTAGATGCAAAAGT